AAAATCGGTAGGTACAAGTTTGTTTTAAGTGATGCAGATTCAGAATTCATCATTATTTTTTGAGTGAAGAATTATCATGATAAAAACTATATTTACTTATTTCTAAATTTTTTTATAAAGACATATTGTATATTTGTATGCTGAAAATCTATACAGAGATGTGTTTTAGGATGATGAAAATTGGCACAGACATTTCTCAAGTGATTCTGACTCAGAATCCATCATCAATCTTTCTGGAAAAAAATTCCCTTATATAGTACTTTTCGTGAAATGGATCAATGAAAATGGTCGCAGTTGGCAATGATAACAGTCCAAGGATATAATCACTATCTTGTTGGATACACATTTTGAATACCTATCCAACAAAAAAAAGTTTTTCGAAATCGATGAAATAATAACGATTGGACAGGTCGGTGATAAGTCCTTGAGTTGGACACACTGTATAAATACCAAGTGGCCACGCCACCCTGAATAACGTTCGAAGGAATGATCGATTGAAACAAATGCTTCGACACGTCAACTTCAATTCCTGAGGGAACATAATCCGAAATCTTTTATGGCTTTCCCCTTTCCTTGAGATCCACTCAAAAATTCCAAATGAGAACGTGGGTCGAGTGATACCTTAGGGTTTCATCGAGACGAGATATCTCGTCTCGAAGGCACTTTCTCGTCTCGTCTCGATCATCGAGACGAGAAATTAACAAACTCTTGTCTAGATGTTTTTCTCGAAGACAATTTCTCGATCTCGATTCGAGACTCTCGAAATTTCGAGAAATGCATTGAGAAGTCGCATTCCCTATGTGATGAAAATGTTAATTCTTTCTCGGTATATTCAACAGAAAACAACCTCATTCCTGGCTGTATGCCACGACGAACATTGAATTATATCTATTGAACACACACGAAGAGAATTTGAAAATAAAAGCTTCTGAATTTCAGAATTTGCATTTGTATAAATTTTTTCAAAGTTTATTATACATCTTAGAATATTCTTTTTCAATACTTTCTCAATCCAAATCAAGGGATTCAAACTTGTACGAAGGAAACTTGTTATTTCATCAATTCAGAATTTCTTTCCACGCCCTCTATGATGAATATCAATTTGTCATACATCCGAAACAAAAGAATATTATTCCAAAAAAATGAGAATTGAATGAATTCTTGATGTTTGAATTCAATATTTTATCCATATAGGTACATTCAAAATTTACCTAGGTACGAAAAGTGAATGTTTGAATGTGTTTCTTCGTTCGTGAACAGCACCTGCAACAAACTCATTTTTTATTATCGAAACAGTCGTCTCTTGAACAACCCGATATAACGCAAATTAATGTATGAATTATGAAATTATTTCTTAGCTTACTTTTTCATTGTCATTTTTCTGGCGTACAGTTGTATTCAGAAAAATAGCGTACAAGTATTAGAGAGAGAAGCTAACGTCATCCTATTTGCGTAAAACGGGCTATCGAAAATGATTTTTCACCATATGTTGACATTTGTCATAGGTTGTCAAAACTACAAAGCATTGGCTGAGCCAGTTTTACACAACTAGAACTAGGATGGTTGACCTCTCTTTTTAATACATGTACGCCTTTTTATTGAATACAACTGTACTTGGAGCTGTGAGTTATTGCAGCGCATAATTTTTTTCGAGATCGAGAAATCTCGAAATAATTTCTCGATCTCGAAAAATCTCGAAGTGTTTTTCTTGATCTCGTCTCGAAAAAAAATTAGTGGTCTCGTCTCGATCTCGTCTCGAAATCGAGACGAGACGAGACGAGAAATCTCGAATTTCGAGAGTCTCGTGAAACCCTAGATACCTCATTCTACCCCGATAATAACTGTGTTTTGTTCTTGCATAATGCTTGATTAGTTTTCGAAATAACCATTTATTTTTCCAGAATAGAAAAAAATAAATTGTGCACATTTATTTTTCGAGGTTCATATTCAGTCGAAGTTCATATCATGAGGTAACCAAAGCTTTCGATACTATTGAAATGAAAGGAGAATCGGAAATTGATATATTGAAAAAGTGGAATTTTTCTTGAATTGAACTGCTTTGATGGGTGGAAAATAGTGTATTTTCAACATACTATTCTCTTGATACTCCGTTTCCAAGAGTAATTTCAAAAATTTTTGTATGGACATATTCCTCACTGACAGAGCTTCGTAAAATAAATGTGTCAAAAAGATTCCTGATCTACAAAATTATGTTATGAAAAATTATTCCATTATCAACATGAAATGAATAATCATTAATTATTTCAATACAGCGGTTTTAGGCCTGTAGTAGATTCCGGAGAAGAACAGCGAATTTACTCTTCAATTATAGTAACACACATTGATGAATGACATTAGTTCTTCCTCGCTGTAGCCTTCAAGTCATGCTCTATTAAATTATCTAGTAACTCTTATTGGGTCGTCATAGCAAATGCATTGAAGACAATTAATGAGACAGCTATGCTGTCCCCTAATCAATTCAATTTTTTATGAAGGTTATTCAATATTTGATAACCGTTATTCGATTTCGTTATCAGTGCATGTAAGTATTGAAATCAGAAACTTGCAGACATAAATTCTCCGATTGATGACGAGTTTCATTAGTTATTCTTTTCAGTGGATTGCCTTCAGAATATAATCCGATGATGAGACATTAGGAAGTTTTGAGCAGGAACTGACCAGTGCACCGAGAAAAAAATCGAATTACAGTTATTAAACAGTCAATAACCTTCATGAAAAATTTGATGAGGGACAGCCTAGCTGTCTTATTATTGCTAGTCAATTCAATTCACTTTGTTATTACGACCCAATAACAGTTACTAGATGATGTAATAGAGCATGACTCGAAGGCTACACGGTGACCGAATTAAGGTCATTCATCAATGTGTGTTACTATCATCAAAGAGTACATCCGTTGTACCTACAACAGGCATAGAACATCTACATTGATATAATCAATGACTCTATTCAACTCAAGTTGAGAAGCGAAACATTTCTCACCAAATCTTTTGCCAGATTAGAAATAATATATTTGACAGACTTATTTTGTTTAGCTCTGTCAGTAAAAATGACATCCATTGGAAAAAATCCCAAGATACTCTTGGAAACGGAGTATGAAGAGAATATTATGTTGAAAATACACTAGTTTGATAATGGAAATGAGATAAGATAATGGAAAACGACATCAAACGACGATACCTCACACAACAACAGAACTGTATTGCTGAGCGAACCAATAGAAGAATCTGTGAGATGGCTGGATCTATGATGCAGAAAGCATGTTGTTCAAAATTAATATGGACTGAGAAATAGATGACCTTATAATGGTATCAATTACCAGATACCTAGACAAAATAGGACAACAGTTTCGCACATATACCTCGTGAGAAAAGGACCAAATGGTAAGCCTAAAATGGAGAGTATATCTATTCGTTAGATATTGCGAAGATCCAAAGAATACCGTTTACTCGACACAGATAATCCTAAAGAGCATAAGCTGTGTTTCCTAGAACAAGGTGAAGAAGATCATCGTGAAATTTTTACGGATTACGGAACCAAATCTAATTCTTCAGAATCGAGGGATGAAGAAAAGAGATATCTTCTGATGAGGTGCAGCAATATTCAAGATTTTCAGATTTAGTCTTGTATCATACAGAATGTTCTTCATCAGATATAAAAGAACACTCAATGGTAGAAGAATAAGCGATGTCTAGTTGAAATAAAGAGATGTGGAAGATGACCAGGCAGGAATAATATGATTCTCTTATCAAGAATCCAGTATAATAGTTGTTAATATAAATATAGGTATTGAACGTCGAAGAACCGGAGTACAAACCAACACGAATGAGGTAGCTCTAGACCTATGATCCCATTTGGAATTCTCGAAAGGGTAGTTCTTGAGTTAGGAAGACGTCATGACAGATGACAAGTCAATCTCGTAATATATTCCCCTCGGAATTAGAGTCAACATGTCTAAGCAGATTTTCACTCGATCATGCCTCAAAACGTTACACTGTAGAAAATTCCTCTGAGTGAATGAATATGTGGTTGTGAGTGAATTCACTGATTGATATTTTTGAGTGAATTGTCAACTCAAACTGGATATCTCATCAAGTTCTCATAACAATGAGAATGTTTATAACAAATTTGATGATTGAATCGGTTCATGAATTAACATTTTACACAGTCAAGTATATATTGGGTGGAATTTCAACTCAATCGGGTGTGGACCGAAATTGACTCATTATTGCGTGGACATTGAGTGAAATTTCACTCATTTTTATTTTTCAGTGTATTCAGGATGGATCATTTTGAATGAACCATCTGGTTTATAGCTACTATACACCAGAGGATTATAATCTGCAAATATTAACATTCAAAGAGTTCGATATACACGTGAATATTAGAATTGATCAAACTCAAAACGATTAAAAACTCGCCAATTAATCCGCGCATATGTAGTGTTTATATTCCATTACAATGTGCGTGGAAAACTCTGAACCACACGTTTTCAATTAGAAATACAAACAAGTGGTGAGATAGCTGCTGGAAATAATAACAAAAATCGAACAGTATCCTCTTATCTCTCACTAATTTTTAATGCGACTAAATTTTCGGGTTATTTTCATTTATACAGGCTGTGTTTGATCAGGATTGTCTTGCTTTCATAAAATTGGATGTATAGGATGTTATCGATTGAAGAGGTTATGATGTCTTTCAAATTGGAATTAGCATAATTTTGATTATTTGGACCTTTTTCATTCATGAAGAATTGGATCATTCAACTCACTTTTAGAGAAGAGCACTCAATCATCCAGAAAGGTTAGTAATTCCTTATCAATTTGGTTTATAATAGTGAGTAGTATTCCACGCTAATAAGATTTGGTTTCGTGAAGCCATAGGTCATTAACATTCATCAGACAAACTTGAGCAAATCGAAATTCGGAAAAATCTATGTATTCTCGATGATGTTAGAGAAAATGTATTTATGTAATATGTACCTGAGTTTCCGTTAACGATAAAGACTGTGCCAACTGTTTCCTCTCGGCCCCTACTACATAATGGTTCTTCTCGAAAGCGTGTTCCAGCTTGAGTAATTGTGAAGGACTGAAGGCCGTCCTTATCCTTTTTGGTTTCCTAAATGGTTGCAGAAGAAATCCAGGTATGTCAGGACCTGAAACCAAGAGTTTCTCTTCTCAATTTCGATATTATAGGTATGTTTTTCCTCAATATGTCATTTTATTCTTGTAAACCAATAACTTTACATAGGTTATATATACTGTGTCTGAAGATGGCTGCTTGAGCCGAAACTAGTCACTAGCGTTTGTGTTTTTCCTTCTCCTAATAATGTTCGACACATAAAAACTAGAAGATTCTTCACAAAAATACAATTTTTTTAAAAGCAGGTGGAGGTTGATTGAACACGGAAATGTTCAAATGCAATGTTTGTTAATACTCAATTCCTTTCAGATGAAGAGTATGAAAAATAAATTAGAGTCCAATTTGTGTTGAAATGAATAATTGCTTCTTGTGAAATTAACTGCAAGAAGAATGTTGCGAGGAAGAGTACATCCAATTAACTTTCATTATTCGAGCATCAAATCAGAATTAATCCGACAAAATTAAAACATAACGTTACCAACGATTTAATCGATGTCGTGATCATAATTTCAGCGCCATCAGCGTTAAACCGCAAGAAATAACAGTCATGATGAGAGAAGTGGTAATTCAGCACTTTGGCCCTCAGTTGTATACCTGAAGAAACAATAATAAGTGTTCACCGTGGCATATATAGTCCAGTCAAAAATGAACTCTCTGTTGTCCTATGCGCACCATGTTACATATTATATATTATACGAATAGAACTGGGAGTCTGAGATTATTTTGATTCCTACTGTGCTTGTCCTACTATATTTTGAGTCTAAATTTGCAATAATTTCACACCACGATTGATTCATGAGAAGGATTATAGAAGAACTCATACATATATTTAGTAACAATTCAATCGAATGGTTTGAGGAATTCATCACAAACACACCTATTTGATTTTCAGATCAAATTGCTAAATTCATCGTACTTGTAATCATTGGTAATGAGTAAAGTATTCTTTATACGAGATCCAATGAGTTCTTGAAGTTAGACAACGACCTCGTTAGCACCTATATTGTGTCAGGCAACTTCACTGACAAGTCTGAACACAATTGAGTTCAATGTGATCCACAAATAATCAGAATGATGATACTATCTTATTTTCTCCTCATGAACTCAACTATAAACGAACATTGTACTTATGATGTTGGAATTTCACGAGTCAATTAGGGCGTATTGCGTGTTATCTTGCCATTAGAGTTAGACTCGATATTAGAAACAGATAGAAATAGGTATATCTAATAGTATTTATGGTATAGGTGCTACATCGAAGTACATGTATTCACTTCGGATATTCACTAGGTATACTCATTATGTGAGAAAACGACTTCAGAACTAACACATACACTATCGTGCCTTATTATTATCGTATTACTCGTAAATTGAACTTTGGTGCCTTCTCAAAAATTATAGGCTTGTAGACATGATTTTACGATAACCAGACGTTGTTATTTCAATTCATTATACCTTTTGATATTCAACAAAATAAATAGTGGGTAGAAGCAATAACCATGCAAGATAATAAACTGCAGTTATGGCATCTTATTATACAGATAGAGATCAGTGATATAATAATTCATATAGGTATACCTACTGCTCTTCCTGCAATTTCCACTTTCTTAATAATATAGAGGCGAAGTCGCAAGATTGGATTTTTATCCGACTATTTGTTATGGGAATTCACACTTATTTCGTTGATATATTCATCGTCTCCCCCACGTAAAATCTTTCAATTCATGCTAGTAGTTGTAATAATAATTGCCGGAGGCAGGTTTTCGATAGCTGTCATTTTCGATATATATAACGAATCCTCAGATCCGGATCCTTCATGATTTTTTATAATGGAACTTTGTCGACATTTTTTTGTAGACTGCTATCAAAAATCTGTCATCTATACGATTGATACAACTACTATTCAGTATTATTCATTGGAAATGAGAATTAACGCATGCTGGAACATGAAAACATCAATTTGATTTTTTTATGCTTGAGAGCGCACGAAAGAGAACCCCTTGAATGTTTTGAGAACATCGTGCGTGCCTTGGGAGGATAGGTAGAGTATTGGAATTTTTTTGAACGTTCGGAGATTATGTGTTCTTGGGAAAACTTTAATTGGCAAAGAATACCAAAGCTTCGCTGTTCTATGGACGAACAAATTTTGGAGAAGTGTTGTTCGACATATTTCAAGGTTGACAACTGAAGGATGTGCTGATTGGACTTGGATAGTTTGTATTTCTGTATTGCTTGTGATAGAATGATAGCAGAGAAATCTGAAGAATGCAGTCCTCGTGGAAGTATATATAGAAGAGTAAGAGGTTGTCAACTTTCCAACGATGTTCCGATGATGTCATATAATAGATTGCACAGTATATACATTCAAATATTCTCACAATGTGTTTCCACTTCAGTGCTACATTTTAAAACCGCATCATGTGAAGAGTGCGTTACAATAATGTACTTCTGGGATATGGATCATGTGAAATATAGGTCACATTTTGAATTCTGTGAAAAGTACCAGATTTATTACGCCTTTTCACAACCATGTTCATCAGTGAGTATAATCCACGGTTTACAGACAGATACCCTGTTTTCATGAGACTATAATTGAGAATTATCTAAGTTGCAGTTATAAAGATAACAAATGAATAATATACATAGACGGGGTTGGTGCAGTGGACGAACTCATGACTGCGAGGTCGTGGGATCGAATCCCAGCCAATGCAAGAAATTTTAGTCTATTATGTCTTGGAAAGTATGATATAAAAGTTGAGCAAGTCAATGTAAGTTTAGTTAAGTGTTCGAGTATTATACTTGAAGAAGCAACTGTGTTAGAAAAACACATGTGTTATTGGGGATTTTTGTAGAAGTCTTATCGTTTGTGAAGTCTTTTCACATTTACTATGGATTTTCATCAAGTATATCGGCTGAGTCGATTCAAAAAAAAGTTATTTATGCACCAATAAGGGTGTAGATCGGTCGACATTCATTCTTCGGGCTAAATGTTTTCCTCCGGGCGTTAGAATAGCATAGATTTGGGGTGATGCATAAAGATTCTACTTTTCATGAAAATTTCATTAAATTCTGTTCTTTGCTCTTCGCATTCACCTTCTACTTTTCTTCTCATAATGGGCATGACAATTGTTGATATTCAGATGTTCGTTGAATATTGTTGTCAGTGATAGTTTATTAGCCTCTGTGCCCCCCCCCATCTCACTGTTTAGCCAGTATCTTCGCAAAATAATTTCTAGAAATTGTTTTTCGTGATAGTTATCATTATCAGCATTTGTATCTTATGAAATTTCGATGAAATGAGTTCCAGAGATATTCGAGAATAATTAATAATGTTATATGTGGAATAATAGTTGTGATGTCATTAGCGCTGGTGTAGTAACAGAGTTAATGGGTGATGAAAACTTCCTGGTTTCCAAGTATAGCTGCGACAGTGACCTTCTAGATAGCTCCTTCGAGCTTATCATTCATTTTTCAGTTTATCAAATATGTCGATGACGAGACATGATTAAAAGGGTAGGTTTAAGACCGTAGACCAAGTACGTATTGAATCAATAAAGGAAGAGTACGTCTCTGATTAATTTTTGAAATGAAACGTTCCCTTTGAATTTTATAGGGCGAAAAAAATCCAAAATCATTGACCATCATGATTGAAATAGTTGTGGAATCTAATACGGAATCATTGGCCAACTTGATTGAAATAGCTGGAGAATCACTAAAGCAAGCATTCGGAAACAGGAAGAGGCAGTGTGAACTAAACCACCCTATTAATAATTAAATAATCGTTTTCGGTTTGCTTCAATTCAACATATATGACCCGTTAAGATGAATAACTGTGCTAAATTTGAAATCGATATTATTATATATATTATCTTTGATATAATAGGTATATATTTGATCAATCAATCAAAAAACATGATTTCGAACCGAACTTTATCCTTCTCCATATCAACCATGCATGGGGACCCAAAATGATAAATAGTATGAGAAACGTCGTTTTTGTTCAACACCTATAGGTATTGAAGTTTCCTTTTTTCATCGTCTTCATAAGATAGATTTCCGAAAATAGATTGATGAATATATATCTCAGTATATGTATGAATGAATGTATTGTACCAAGTATAAATCGTTTCAAAATATTCTCAAATCCTACATGTTTTATAAAGGACAATCGAACAATAGAATACGTCACGGGATTGATATACTCCCCGACGATGCCATTTTGAACATTCAACAACTGTTCCTTTAAAAAATGAACTTGATCCTATTTGTACCCTTATCAATAGTGAATAGTCACACCCTAACGAGATCATGATTGACTCCTGAATTGTTTAATTTAATAATGGACCATGACAATAGCCCTAATCTAGTTTCACGCCCCTTAAAAACGGGCATGGTGTTATGTAGTCACCAGACCGTAAATTTGACGCTTATAAAAAGAGAATAATGCTTTTTATGGACTGTGTATTGGAATAATGCGGCCGTTCGCATATGATATTTATGAAGTAAGAAACTGATTTAGTGAATATGATATGAGTATAAACCATAAAATGAATATACTTCACACAAAATATTGGATATAGGTAGATACAAAAATTCATAGAATTAGAGGAAGCCGTATCTATGTTGTGATAACCGCAAGAAAGTTTAGTATGTAAATACGCTTCATTCATATGGAAACATGCTTTCCATTTCCATTCGAAACACATCAACATCAATCTTTGGAATCATCATTATTAGTACTAAATAAAATACATTTTCAACAAAGCGCTAATTATGAAGTTAATTTGTGTGCAATTATTTATGCAGAGGAGGCCCCTCGCATGAAACTTGAATAATTCGTATAGCGGTTGATAATTATATTCTTTTCCATCTCCATGCATGCTTGACTTATAACTCGCTGCAACGCTGCATTCTTTTATATGTAAAGTAGCCATTGAAGACAACATACCCGCTTACAAATAGCTACAAATTGTTCTCAACGCTTTATACATCTTTATTAAGTAACTGCGCAGA